AACCCCTTTTCTTGGTCCCTGTCAAACTCGGGAGGGGCGAGACGGAACTTTTCGTTTCCCACTAAAATGGTAAAAGCATCAAGTCCGTGAGCTGACAGAGTGAGAAACGTCTTTTGTACCAAACAAGGGGCTCAGTTGCCCAAAGGGCCCAGAAATAAAAGGCGATCACCTTTGGGGGCCATGACTCAAACTAGGCCAAGAAGGAGAGAAGGTCAAAAGGTCAAAAGGTCGATTTGCTTTGGGCAACAGAGAACAAGGAAGTTCCAACCTCCAACACGTCACCCGCGTCAGCCGGCCGAATGCCGAAACCGGCGAGGGGTTTCGGGGACTCCTGGCGTGGAGGCTTGGAGCACTTGGTGCAGTGGGTCCAGGTCGAGAGGTTGGCAGCACCACACTCGCAGATCCACCTACCCAAAGGAGGCAACAAGGTAGCTCAAAAGATATACGTACAGGGCTGTGGGAAATGGAGCCCACCTCTGTGATACAACAAAAAGGGCTTCCCAAAGACTAACCCCCATATAAAGGGGGAGATTTACTTGTATCACAGAAGTGGAGAAAAACCCCTTGATCCCGCAACCCTATATCTGTACATACTGGGCTGCCCTCATGTCCCCCGCTAAAAGTTTAACCTTGAGTGGGTTAAATGGAAACTACCACGAATCACTTGGATGGCTGGGAGCCGCCAAGTATATACTTGGGCAGAAGGCGACACGAAAGGTAGCTTCATCCAAACAAGGGCCTTCAGAGATACCTGAAGCAGAAGCAGGTTATGTTCAAGGGACAAACCTGGTTCATGTGATTTCGGCAAGAAAGATGTCACCCAATCAAAGGCCTCCTTAAATTGTGAGTATTTCGCGCAGTCCCTCTCGAATTGGGAAGACTAGGCTCGTTGCATCACAAGCACCGCAACGTCGCACGGCCGGCTTTCACTTGGACACACAGCATCACCAGCGTCGGCTGACGAGTCACACGGGCCAGCTGCAGGTTGCACCACCGGCATCGCCAGCATCACCAGCAACAAAGTTTAGCTGAAACAACCAGTGCCGAATGGCCGTCGCCTCCATTCACCCTTTGGTGCATGGGCAAAGCGAACAAGTCGAAAATTGATCCTCAAGTGGCTGGAGGCAGAAAACAACGTCGTCTCACGAGCTGTGGCTTACACCGGCTTGAAGGCCTAGGGTCTGGAGCGATGTGTCCTTACGAGTTGGCTGCGTGCCACACAGAGTTCAAGGTCTGAGGGCGGATTCGATCCCGAGCAGGAGAGGTAGACCAGACGGCGGACCAGGGGGGAGTGAAGCGGGGGGGTGGGGGGGCGGGTAGATACCTAACATTTGAGGAAATACCCCCCCTAACTTACAGGGACCTTGCTAACACAAGGGAGTGCTCAAGGTCTATCTTTCGTGATAACTATATATGTCTCGCTCTCTCTCTCTCTCTCTCTCTCTGCCGTTGCGTCCTATCACTATATATATATATATATATATTTATGTGATACCCTTTTCAGGGACCTACTTTTTTGAAGAATTCACTGATACTTGCAGTATTTTCTAGGCTTTGGGGGATGCAATGAAAAAGACGCATTTCCAAGACAGTCTGGAAGCATCAGCGGCGGGATGCACGGTGTCCCTCCCCCCACAGCGTTCAAATTGCGGGCAAAACAAAGCGAGGCTTACTTGAACGTGCTAACCTGCTAGGCATGGAATCGGCTGCTCTGGGACTATCCCCATACTACTCTCACGCTATTGGTGTCAATCGGACAAAGAACGGTTGTCCTTGAAGTCAAAACTGACACCCCCAAATTGTCAAGCTACCGTGGATGGACAAAATCCAATTCCCAGTTGGTGGGTAGTTTATTCCATTGAGTCTAGGGCTAGGAATTCATCCATGCAGGATTCGTCCACAGTCTCTCGAGTTCTGGGGGTCAAAGGTGTTTATTGTGGTCTTGGGATCCTAAGGGCCGGAAGGACGGCCAACACACAGCCGCAAATCCGCAAATCATTCACATACTCGACTGATCGCAATACGCCAGTTGAACCAAAAAAGCGCTAAGAACTCTGGCCACAATCTTCCGAGGGTTTTTGGATTACACCCCGGGATTACACCCTTAGGGAAATTACCCAGAATGGGTGAAAATAACACCGTTCTATCCGGAAATGTGCCCACATGGGGTTCCCGGGCTGCAATACAACAACTTTTAGATCTTGGCCTCTGCATGCTGTACCCCCCAACAACTGACATGGAAGTGTAAAGAGGCCCTTTCCAAGAGGAATGTAGTCTTTCCACAGGGCTCTGTGCACTTCCATGTTAGCTGGAGGGAGGGTATACGTACAGCTGCATCAATGCAAATGCAGAGGTAGGCTGTGCCGCCAAGACTCTTCGGAATCTCCTTGGAATCCAGTCTGGATTGCAAACTGTTCTGCACCACTTGCGAGGGCGCACCACGATCCCACCCAGCCATGGCAATCAAGGGCCGGCGTCCGAATGCTTTCCACTCATGGGTTGTTGCAGCTACTTCCGCCCGTAGCTCTGTTACGCAGCTTGCGCTGCCCTGTGCTTCGCATCCTGTGCTTCCGTTTTACCAAGCTTGGTCCTTCTGCATGACAAAACACCTTCTACCTGCAGCGCGGGGCCCCAAGAAGGCCGCCAGGAACATCCTCCGTCCGTGCACGTTGGATGTTGGCTGCTTCAAGTTTCAATCTCTGCGTGTGCATCGCCCTGCTGAAGCCCAGCGTAGCTCGTCCAGAAAACCACACGTGCGCGCGAGCAGTGGACTCTTTGTAACCCATGCGCAGGTCTCATACCGCAGCTTACTTGAGGCGACTGCACTGCTAGATGTGCCTGACTTTCAGGGGCTTTTTTGTGTGCAAACATCCTTTGCGAACAAGCGAGCCTATCATCACTCAGATTTCGGCGCTGAGGCTGCTGCGGTGAAGAAGTGAGCGGCATGAAGCCAATTTAACCTGGCCATTCGCGGCTTGGACTGAGGCTGAAACAACGAGGCGAAGGCGACATCCGAAAAGCTTCGGCTTGCAAAAGGCCTAAAATCCGATTGCGCTCCCGTGGCTGGCCGTTTTGCTCGGGGCATCTTGCGGATTCATGTGACGCCACCCTCCGAAACTTGCTCTTAGAAACACCACGGCTATGGCCGTGGCGTGGAAGGCTCCGACCTTTGCGAGTGTAGCCTTGCAGCAGTCTTTAATATGATTCCAAACGCCAGTCCCGCGTGTTAAAACAGGCCTTCCAAAGCCTTGTCGGGTTTTGGGGGGAGTAGCCTACATAAGTATAAGTTATTCAGTTTCTATACTATTCAATATAATCATACATATCTGTAGGTATGCCTGATATGCCCATCTCAGGTAAACAGATTTGGCAAATGAATGCAAATGCAAAGTCCCCAATTGAGTCATAATCAAAACCTGGTATTAAAATGGTTTACCCAGAAGCATGTAAAGAATTAAGAAGGCGGCCGCAGCTATTTATGGTTGGGATTGTCCTTTACTAACCTTCATCTACCCGGGTTTTGATTGTGGCTGGCGGTAGCGGCACTGTCTATCCTCCAGGGCATTGCCTGGGAGTCACGGAGTGAACCCTAAAAGCGAAAGAAGGGCCACGAGGATGCCGACCTGCGAGGAAAGTTCAGCGATTCTCGCCTCGCAGGCCGATGGCAGAATAAACTCAGAATATTGTACTTTGCATGGGGGCATCCGGCGAAGCCTGCCGAGCCTTGTCCAGGGGACCGTGAATCCACAGAGCACGCAACGCGGCTCGCAAGGGTCCCAGTCGGCGCAATAACAGTGGGAAAGCCCGGGGGCTCCAGCCAGGCGACTAGCCCACCCCGTCATAAGATGTTTCCTTCGACCTATACAAAACCGAAGTCTGCGCACAGAGGAGTTGCCGAGAGCTTCACGCAGTTGCTCGGCGTCCAAGCCCGACAAGAAGCCGAGAGGCACCTTCTCAAGGATAAATTCTCTCGAGAGAACCTTGCAGGCATCTATACGCTCCGGTACTGAAGTCATGGCATCAAAGTCGACGCAAGGGCGGTCAGGGACCTGGTTCAAGCCAGGAAGAACAGGGCCCGCTTTCTTATCATTCAGACGAGTCCGTACCACCAGGGAGGCAAAGATTGGCGAATACCTCCAACAAGTGATAGACGTCCCAACCTGATCCATTGTGATGTACAGCTTGCGCAGCGGTTTACCCAGCATAAGGTATTCCTCATTCAAGTTGACAAGAACTTTCAGTCCAATATTGATGCCGTCGTGCCGTGGAAGCAGCAGCCCGAAGGGCATCGTCGGCAGCGGAGGCCAAGATTGACACAGCTCCAACATGTCCGGCTCGGTTTCAGCATCAATTGGAATCCCTTGCATTTTGAGAATACCCATACATAACATCCGGATCTTCCACTGGGCCTCGCGAGCAGTCTTGATCTTACGCAGGAAGGGCGCTTTGTCCCCTGCAATAAAGATGAAGAGCAGCAAGGCCTCGATCCAAGTATGCCTCCTCGAGAGGGCTTCGGCTTTGCCTTTGTCAAATACGCACCAGTCAAGCATACCACCACCCCAATACCATAGGTTGGCTTTGACCGCCATCATGTCAGGGTCGATAGTCAAGAATTGTCCCCTCTTAAATACAACGTGGCTGTGAAAGGGGGAGCTGAGCAAATAGATATCTTCCGACTGAGCGTGCTGTCGATCAGCACGATCAGATTGTACCGGAGCATGATCAAGCTGAATATTGTAATCAATTGCACGGAGATCGCGGTGACGAGCTTCCCACTTACCCAGGAGGTCAACCGCTTGTCGTTGAATAGTACCCCATTTAGCCTGAAGTCTAGGGGGGAGGTCTTTACAGAACACAAGAAGGTGTTGAGAACAGGGGCTCCACTGAGACCAGGATTCCCAACCTTCATCCCATTGACTGCGCAGATCGGCCCAGAAAGGGCATTCCCAAAACAGGTGCGCCATAGTAGCACCATGGTGTCTACATTCTCTGCACTCCGGAGTATCAGTGAACTTCTTGACAAATTGCGTGTGGAAGGAATTAATCCCGTTGATCAGCACTCGGATGAGCTTCTGTTGCACCGGGTGCCCTTCAGGTAATAAGTGAAGAAGTGCAGTGGTCGTGCTGAAATCGTGGTTGCCGACCCCCTTCCAGCAAGAGGAGTTGCATTGTTCCAACTCTGAGGCAATCTTGTTACGGAAGGAATGACTAAGAGCCTTGCTCATCACTTTGCAGTCGCCACTACCAAAGGTCCAAAGCAGTCTACCTTCATTGTTGCTAACTTGCAAGTTGTCAACGTTCAAATGAAGCTGCAGATACTCCAAATCCCTTTTAAGCTGGGAAACAGGGCCAATCTTTTTGATAGAGGGAAGGACCTTCTCCCAGCTCTGAATCACAGCGTCCTTGACGGCGCGCTTCTTGAAGGCATGATTGTTCCAGAAGAGCAGGTTTCTCCAAACAAAGAAAAACTCAGGGTCCATAAGCAAGCAGTTTTTCTGAAACAGAATTCGGGCCGAAAAGGTCCCAAGCTTGCTGCCGTGTGCCGCTGTACGAATAGCCGTGCGAAGCTGCCTGAGCTGATCCTTGGTCGGTCTCAGTGTAGCACCTGCATACGTAAGCATAGGAATAATGACCGTGCGGACAATCATATTGGTAGTGGCCGCAGGTTGGTTGGCCCTTGCAAGCAGTTGCAGCGCGGTAATAGCTCTGTGTATTTTCTTTTCAAACCAAGTCTTAGAGGAGAAGAGCCCAATCGCCAGGGGAACGCCAAGGTAATCGACCGATTTGACTTCCTTGACAACTTGTCCATCCCGCCAACAAAGCGGTGTGGATTTCTTCACATCTCTGATTTGACACGTCTTAATTTGCGTGCGGAAGTTATGAAGCGTATCCCAAGCTTCAGTGCGTCCAAAGGCATGTTGTAGTTCACTCGAGTCACTTTCCGTGAAAAGAAGCCTATCATCCACATAGACATAATTGTACACAGCGCTGTTGAGATCTCTTGACCAAACCGCCAGCACAAGGCTAGCAGCAGCCATACCGATGGGGCAACCCGATCGTCCCAAGAACAGGCCGCCTGGCCACTATGCCGGGGGTTGAAACGAATCTCCTCATGTGCCTGATGGAATGAATCCAAGTGCCAACTGCAGCTTGATGCATACCCCATTCGGATAAGGCTTGACAAGCGAGCCAATGTGGGATACAATCGAAGAACTTGACAGTGTCGATTGCCACACCATGAAATGAGAGGTGCGTCTCATTCTGGCATTTCTCAGCGGATAGAGAGGCGTGCAGCCATGCTTGATACCCACTGCGCCGAGGTACACCCCCAATGATGTTCTCAGGGAGGTTGTCGAAGGAGATTTCACCGCATTTCAATAGCCACTTGTGAAAAATACGAAGTGCCGTAACTTCAATAGTGATGGGCCTCATGGCTTCGAGATCAAAGCCAGCGTCACCTTTTGGGATAACCACAAGCTTAGCATTAAGCCAATGCTTGGGAGCCCTTCCGCAAATAACGCAGAGCATAAAAAGACTGTGCAGAAAATCAACGCCCTTCTGCGGTAGCTTTTTGAAATGTGCATAGGTCCATCCACCTAGCCCCGGCGAGGAGACACCTTTCCCGTTTCTGAGAATCCGATTGAGGTGTTTGACACTCCATATTTCCGCAGGGACTTCGTGGTTGGCGTTGCCCATATTCCAAGACATTTGATCATCATGCTGGTAGACCGTAGCGAAGAAGTCGCGAATGACATCCACCGTCTCTTGAGGGGTCTTGGTCCAACCATCATTTGTTTTGATAAAAGGGGGGGGGTTTGCGGGTCGGGGCCCTGACCCATTTGCAAACGTCTCCAATCCACTTGCTCTTCTAGGATTCATCACCAGGCTGTTGCATTCTATGCTTCCAAGCTTGTAGTTTATCAAGTGAGGGTTGACCCAGCTCAAGTAGAGCTTCCCGAATCTCTTCGTGCTCCTGTGCTTCACTGGATTGCGCGATGAGCTTCCTGTGAAAAATCGCTTTCTGCTGGTTTTCCCAATGCATTTTCACTCCCAAACCCGGGACTCTCTTGAAGTCGGTGTGGCCGTTCCAGAAACGAAACATAGTTGAGGCGAAGATGGACCAACACATATCCACATCAAATTTCTCATAAGCCGCACACCATTCATCTTGCAACTCATCCCACACTTCGGCGTGATTTCCACACTGCTCGTTGATGTGATATCCTTCAATCTGCAAATACTGATGCACCTCAGCATTCCAATTGAGCTTGGTCGAAATGATGGCATGCCCATTGTCGTAGGGGAAGAACGTGATTGGAGGACCGAATTCCATTCGAACGTCTTTGTGACAAATAATGTCATCAATCTTTGTTTTGGAGTGAGCTCTCTGAAAAGTATAAGGATCAGGACCAAGCATGTCCGTCAATTTGGAATACAAGTCCACGAAGAGGATGTCCATGTCCGACCCCCACTGTAAGGGACTATATTGAAGTCTCCAGC